GGTCAAAAATATATCTAATTTAAAAAAATGACTTTGACCTTTGAATGACCTTGAAAATTGATCTGAAGGTCAAAATTATTAGCACGGTAAAATGACCTCTGTTGTTCTCTACAATTCTTGTTTTAACCATTTTTTTGTAGCTAGCGTATTTTAGGAGCAATTTGGATCCGTCGATTAAAATGGCTTAGCCTGTGTGTGTGTGTGTGTATTTTTTTTTTAAAGAGGCATTTTAAAGTTAAAATAGACCACATTTTTTTATAAAATTAGTTTAAGTAACATAAAATTGCTAATTTTATTTGTTAACAACATTGAATTGCTTAATAATTTTTTATAAAGCTATTTCATTCTCTATTTCATCCTGAAAATTATATATTTCTTATTTAATAAAAAATATAAATTTCGACTCAATTTTACGCGCGAGTATGTCGACGGCATAGATGCGCTGGACTATAAGTCCATCGAGCCACAAAATGCGGCGCGAGATGTTTATTTATTAAACATATGTTAAAAAATATAGTCCATCGATTCTCCAAAAAATCCAAATATATATTTTCTAAAAATGAAATACGTTATTATCTCAATATGGTTTTAACAAGGTTTTAAATCCGATTTAAATGCAAAGGATTAATAGGTTTATAATGTAAGTAACATGAATTTGCCGTGTATGATTTATGAAACATATATATATTTTACATTTCGACATTGCATTTCCAATGCCTAACTTTTACATTTATAAAGATTACCAAATTAGCTTTTCAGTAAAATAGGTTATTTGGAAATGGGCATACATACTTATCATTGCCAATGCATATATTAATGCAATTTTTGAACACATCATTAACGCAGTAAACATAAAATATTTCGCTAATCGCATTATACTTATACAAATATTTACTAAGATCATTTTGCTGTTGACACAACCCTTATAGAAATATCATACTAAGAATCATTGATAATTACTTATTATCCAGTATTTTTAATACTGAAAATAAGTAATTATCAATGATTCTTAGTATGATATTTCTATAAGGGTAGTCAATTTTGTAAGCAATAATGTACTGACGTTCTTATTCCTCGTTAATAATAAAAGTTTTTAATCTTACAAATGAAAGATCGGTAAGTTGAGCAAATGAGTCATCGGTACGAGGATTACATTTATCTATTGACGCATAAAGATTTCCATTTTTAACCATTTTTAAGTAACAACGAGTTTTTTCAGTATTTAAAGAATGAATAAGCTCAATTAACGTTGCGGAAACGAAATCCGTCGGTTGAAAGTAACGGATGTCATTCAGTTTTAAGATATCTGATGACTCATTGTTCAATCTTTTACAAAATTGTCTAACTGCTGGTTTACAGACAGGCTCGACAATGTCACTTATTAAATTTTCGGCTTGCTTGAAAGCAATATATCGGCAAATCTGGAATGGAATTCCTTTTGCATTTTTTATGTTTTGAACTAATTTTCCATTACCATACTCAAAAGGAAATCCAGAGCAACTCCACAGTGGACCCCAATTAATTACAACGAAAATTGTCAAATGTAGTAACTGATGGATGTTAAACGTCATTTCGGTAGAGCTGTATATTATTTGTGTTTGGTTTACAAAATTGCAAAACTTCGTATCGGCAATGCCAATTTCAGTAACATTAATCTCAGTTTGCAGAAGAATGTGCATCGCGTCAACAAATAAGGCCCGGTGCTCTACATATTTTGCTGATAAAAATGTTTAAAAAATTGGAACACTATAAAATAATATCCAATTTTCCCATTCTCGGACCTTCCAGTAATATCGTTCACTAAATGGACGTGCTAAACGAGCAACTTGACGAGGTAGCTTAATTTAGAGTAAATGTTGTGACATAATATCAATATCACTTGTTGGAATCAGCGAAGTAAACCAAACTTCAGCGAGTCGTCTAGCCACTCCTAACAGACAACAGTGCATATAATCTGGGACAAAGCCCGATATTATATTGAAATAGGGAAGGTTGATTAAACAAGATGAAGTTTTAACACCTTTTATCGTCACATTATTGTAAATTGCTTGTTCCATTTGTTCCAAAGTCTCACGTTCTGTTCGTAAATTTGGCACTGGGTACTTAATTGTATATTTTATAATCCCTTGTATATTTTCTCCCGGGTAAAGGCACCAATTACACCCATACCTACCATTAAATTGGATAGTCCCTTGCATAGCGGGACGCGCAACTGAATCCACGCAACAAGTTAAAAAATACAATTTAATATGCCTGATTTCTCCAAGTATTTTACAAGATATTCCCGAAATGCAATACTTTTCTTTCGCATCTTTGACAAATGGTGATAAGAAAACGTTCATGTCTGGTTTGGATTTGCCAAACCATAACCCATATAAAATGGAATTATTTAATCTGATTTGTGGCGGTAGTTCGTTGACAATAATTTGTATTGGCCAAATAAAACATTTGGAACCTTTAAAAACCGGAACACCGTCACAGTTGAAAATAGCAGTTGCAAATGCATGTTTACTACTTGCCAGTAAGTTTTTTACAAATTCTCTGTACAACTTTTCGTTATAAATATCGCGTTTAACATTTGTGCTTTCGGATAATCTTTCTCTTACTGCTTCATAATAACTATCGTTCGACTGTAATAATCGTCCAACAACCGATGAAATGTCGGTTGTAATACAAAAATCATTTTTTTAAATTCTGCTCGTTTAATTGGCTGTGAGCATAATTGACATTTTATGTCATTGTCAAGAAAAGGACCTATATAAGTTCGACAGTTTGGACAGACAGCATGAAATTGTATAAAAGTCCGAGGATTTAATAATTTATCGATACTATATCGCGAACTTGGGAACATTGCAGTAGGAGTTACAACATAATAACTAATAATTTAATAACTCAAACAGCTCTGTGATTGCACTTAGAGATAAATTATGCCTGAAAGAGTAACGTAATACCATTAATAAAACTTCACTTTTATCGACTTCTTGCTGCATGGGATTATGTAAGATCGGATTCGATAAAATAGAATCAATTAAATTTTGAAAAGTTACATTACCTTCATTTGAAGGTAATTGTTCTTCGCCAATATATAAACATTCTTCATTTTCATGTTCTTTGCATTTCATCCTCGGATAAATCGTACGAACGATTATTCACATCATGAATATCATCTTCGAGTGAATCTTCTCCGTCTTCGCTACAATATTATCTTCGACGCTTTCTTCATCGTTTTGTTTCATACTCTCTTCGATATTCTCTTCTTTCATTGAAAAAAAAGGAATAGAAAATTTCATTATTATTCGCTATCAATTGCAAATTACTCTTTTATTTCGTAATTGAATCCAATTTCAGTGAATCCGTTGTAAGTTGAAACTTACATGTCATTATATATATTGTTGTATTCGTGTTTTGAAAGACGAGAAATTACGGTTAAAATGAAAAGACGGTTAAAATATTTTTCAGTCAAAAGTTGTTTGTTTTTTTTTTACGTAAAATAAGATTCCGTAATAAAAAGTTTAGGTTTCCGTTTAAAGAAACAAAGTTGATCTTGAAATGACCTTGGAATGTATACCCAAAGTCAAATCAATAGCACCATCTTATGTTCCCTTTGAAGTCATAAAACTTTTGTACGAAATATTTGTCGATACAAGTCTTGGTTTTCGAGAAAAATTAATGCGACTCGTTCTTGAATTTCGAACGCATGTTGAGCACTCCTTCAGTTTCCATATCAATTGCATCATTATGTGTCAAATTCTAAAAAAAGGAATAGAAAATTTCATTATTATTCGCTATCAATTGCAAATTACTCTTTTATTTCGTAATTGAATCTAATTTCAGTGAATCCGTTGTAAGTTGAAACTTACATGTCATTATATATATTGTTGTATTCGTGTTTTGAAAGACGAGAAATTACGGTTAAAATGAAAAGACGGTTAAAATATTTTTCAGTCAAAAGTTGTTTGTTTTTTTTTTACGTAAAATAAGATTCCGTAATAAAAAGTTTAGGTTTCCGTTTAAAGAAACAAAGTTGATCTTGAAATGACCTTGGAATGTATACCCAAAGTCAAATCAATAGCACCATCTTATGTTCCCTTTGAAGTCATAAAACTTTTGTACGAAATATTTGTCGATACAAGTCTTGGTTTTCGAGAAAAATTAATGCATCACTTAAAATAGCTCGCCCTATATAATTATAAAAACTTATATATTATTCATAATGACAAAATAGAAGTTTGTCATTGAATCGAAAGGAATTTCAATAATAAAATAATAAATACGAAACTGACGACAGATCATTATATCATCAAGTTCGTACAACATTAAGCCACAAAAACAAAACGTTAACCTTAAGGGGAGTAGCCTAGTGTAAACTTTTGACAAATCCAATTCTCTTTTAAAATTTTTTTAAAGTTTTGAATTGGAAGTATTTTTCTATTCTAATGTTATCAAAATTTGAAAAAATAATAAAGTTATGAAATTTTAAGCGTAACATGTTATGATATTTCTTTTCAGGAATGTATTCTTTTTTAACTTCGCTATTGGGTGATGAAATATAACAATCGTCTTGAAATAATATTAAGAATAATTCAAGAATAATTGAAACCAAGACACGATTATTTGGCATGTTAAGAACCTGTCACAATTTGAAACTGAACTTTCAATATAAAAATTGTTAATAATTACAAATTTCAGAAGATCTCAGGTTTGCTTTACATGAACATAATAGCAGCAGCCTTTTTGAAATTAGCGTCAACACAATCACACTCAAAAATAATTAATGTTTCACTTTATTTCTGCAGATAGTATAAAATTTTTATAGGTTTCCAACTTGCCATTTGTGTCACAATTTCAATTATTTTTTATACTGTAACGATGCACACCTGCATCGTCACTACTCCGGCCCGACCGACCATCAGTCGGGCCGTGCACCGGCGCGTTGCGCCAACATAAACGCCGAAAGGCCGACAGACAAAACGCGTAAACAGCCGATAATAAGTATAAACAAAGCGAGCGAGGATCACGCGAGCACAGCGGAAACAATAGCGAGCGAGCGCCGCGGGCACGCGACGAACACGTGTACGGCGAGCGAAGACAAAGAAGCGTCAAGTATATAATCCGCGACGCCAAATTAATCGAGACCAGACCGATCCGGACCGTCAACCGAACTCGATGCTACACAGCGGAGAGCAAGGCCTACGACCGACTCGTATCTGCTTCCTCAACCTGCCAACTATCACATCCTCGCGAACAAGGACCGAAGCCAGTACGTTAGCTGCGCTCTGTCGATCTTTATCGACTCTTGTTTGCATCCCGTCGACGTCCCGAACAAGGACCGAAGCCAGTAAGTTAGCTGCGCTCCGTCGAGCTTTCTCGACCCTTGTTCTCAACCCTTCGACGGGCGAGATCGGGGGTGAATACGCCGATACATCGGCTCCTCACGTCCCATCCCGTCTCTTGCGACGCAGACGTGCAAGCGAGCGCGTCTCCGCCAAAACCGCGAAGACAGCATACAGTACTGAGATACGACTTCGATACCGCCGACACCGCGCGGTCCCCGCGGCCAACCGCGCGAGCCGCGCACGAATCGCGAACACCGAATCGCGACACGTGACCGCCTGCCGAATCTCCGAGGCGAGCCTAGCTTTCGCGCTATACGCTCCGCCTACCGACTTACCTGTCGCGACCTACCGAAACCGCGATCCGGTAACTGGCGCCGTCACCCAGGAGAATTGTATACTAATATGCGACTACTCTGTACCAAGGCTGAATAAATCTTTTTGTTATTTTTGTTTATTACACTCCGCGTCATCTTATTTCACGAACCCGGACTCCGACCAGCGAATACATCCGTGGCATTGACACCAACCGACACGCGGAGTACGGTTGTTACAATACTATCCAAAGACAGTTTGTAATTATACATTCCATCACCTGGTATAGCGAAATTAAAAATATTCCTGAAAAGAAACTTCATAAAAAATGTCTGAAAATGCCAAGAATGTGGCGGTAAGTTTTTCCGCTTTTTGACCCATCGCTTTTTAACATTCCATTTAGAAACACTCGATTCAAAACACAAGTGAGCAATTTTCATATTTAAAAATTAATGAGTAGATAAATCTGATTTGACATACCCTTTATAAATATAATGAAATTGAAAACTACAGTATAATTTTGAAACTTACTTCATCATGTGCTTCCAGTATACAATCATGTATTTTCTCCTCAACCGCAACATTGCGCGTTGCTTCATCTTCAACTATTTTTCGTTTCTTTAAAAGATTATGACGATACTTTATCTTGCGTGGTATCTCCTCGCATGCAGGCAATGATTGTAACCAGGACTTATATTTATTAATCTTATCTTTATTCATTTTACGTATGTTATAAGACGTTTATTGCTACAAAAATCAGAACATATAACAAGATTTTGTATTTTTTAAATTACATGATATATAAAATATAATAGTAGGATGTATATTATTATACTTAATATGTATATTATTATATATTAGGTGCGCAACTAAGTTCCCGCTGTTTGTCAATAGATGGCTCTAGCAGTAAGTGCTGGTCGATTTTGACGTATCCAAAACGTCATGAACCAAGCTTAGACATATGGTAAACAAACCGCTTTGACACGTTAGTGATTTTGTTTTGGCATCATATACTTTTGATTGTGTGAAAATGTCTGATTTTGTGATAAATAATCGTCATTTGCAGGAAGTGTTGATTTTCTTATTTCATTCGAAGAAAATGGCTAAAGCGCATCAAGAGCTCCAAAAAGTTTACGGAGATGCTGCTCTAAGTGAAACAACGTGCCGTGATTGGTTTCGTCGCTTCAAAGACGGTGAGTTCGATGTTGTCGACCGTCCGCGTGAAGGAAGGCCAAAAACCTTCGAAGACGCTGAATTGGAGGCATTGCTCGATGAGGATCTGTGCCAAACGCAAGAACAGCTTGCTTCAGCATTAGGAGTTACCCGCCAAGCCATTTCCAAGCGATTGCATGCGTTGGGAATGATTCAAAAGCAAGGAACTTGGGTTCCTTATGATTTGAAGCCAAGGGACGTTGAGCGTCGTTTTTTCGCCTGTGAACAACTGCTCCAGCGACAAAAAAGGAAGGGTTTTCTTCATCGCATCGTGACGGGTGATGAAAAATGGATTCATTACAGCAACCCAAAGAAAAGAAAGTCATGGGAACTGCCCGGTCATGCTTCTACGTCGTCGGCTCGGCCGAATATTCACGCAGCAAAGGTTATGCTGTGTATTTGGTGGGACCAGGTCGGTGTTATTTATTATGAGCTGTTGAAACCGAACGAAACCATCACTGGGGAACGGTATCGAATTCAATTGATACGATTGAGCCGAGCACTGCGCGAAAAACGGCCACAATATGAGCAGAGGCACGAAAAAGTGATTCTACTGCATGACAACGCTCGGCCTTATGTGGCCAAACCCGTTAAAATCTACTTGGAAACGTTCAAATGGGAAGTCCTACCCCACCCGCCATATTCTCCAGATATTGCGCCGTCCGATTATTACTTGTTCCGTTCGATGGCACATGGTCTGGTTGATCAGCAGTTCCGCTCATATAAAGACATCAAAAAATGGCTTGATTCGTGGATAGCCTCACAAGACGAACGCTTTTACCGTAACGGTATTCGAGCT